TTTTAAAAAAAAAAAAAAACACAACTTTAGAAGGCTTAATAATTCTCTTCCTTAAATTCACAGGCAACAAGTTGACAAGATGAAACTGAAGTGGGTATGAATTTTCTTTTCTGATACCTTTTGTGACTTTCCGTGTGTGTGTGTGTGTATTTGGACAAGGACTGATGCATTATGAAAACTCAAAGAGATGTTCTAACTGCCATGTCTGCCCCAACTTTTATGATGCCACACAGAACCATTCATATGTAGAAGCACTATTCACATTGTTACATATACTTTCTAGTGTCTACTTAAACAGCCATAAGAAGACATGAGATAAAACGTATTTATAAAGCACTCTGGTATTAGATTACTGTTATACCTCTTCCTTGAGAGACTTTTGTTATTTATGTCAGTTTCAAGATTCTATTCGTCCATCAAATTGTTCACTGCATGTTGCCTGATTAACTTTCCATTTTGTATACATAAGATCATTTTACCCAGTTATAATCAACTAAAAAAGAACTTTGCAGACTTCCAATAAGGAAAAATGCATCATGAAACGGTTCCTATGAATAAAACATCACCTGGTCATGGCTAACTGATAAAATGTATTCACCAGACCTCGCCCATACGATATCTGTCACTGCAGCAAAGTGCCCAGATGGAACTTTCTGCGGTTGCCAATGATCCACACCAATGCCAACATTTTTCCATAGATGGAAAGCCCCACCATACCCATGTGCTAGAATTGCATTTCCATCTGGGCTCCAGTGCCCCCCATAAAATCCTAGAGCAGAATGACTTAGCTCCCCAACAGTGACCACATTCATCCAGATACCAGTTTTCCTTTCAGGCTGCCAGATCATCATTGTCTTGTCCATTGAAGCAGACAGAATGCTTTGAGGCTGATGGTAGGGAGTCCCTTCTACAGATGTTGTTGAAGGGGGCTGCCACTCCACTGAATACACCCAATCTTCATGTCCAATTAAGAGAGACTCTAAAGATATCTGATAGGAGGAAGAGCCAGCAACAAGTACAGGACCCTCGATATAAGATGCCAGGCTTATTTCCTCTTTCCTATATGTACCTTGGCTGCTGATCAGGGAACCCCTATGGGTCATCTTCCATATGCGTATGCCTTTGTCCTGAGATGAACTTACGAGCAGAATGCTGTTTGCTTCATCATTTGTGCATATGGGTAATGAGAAGTCCAAACTCCTGATCCAATCTGTATGTGCTTTCAAATCGCAAGCATGAACAAACTGGATACATAAGAAAAGAAAACCAGCATGTTTGAGATTCACAGAAAAGATTTTGTGCAGGAGAATAGGCAGGTTTAGAAATTTAGAGTTGGATACCTTTCCTGTCCTCTCCCCACAATAAAGATGAATCTTGTTATCCAATCCCCCCATAGCAAGGACCATATGCCCTGAATTTCCAGGCAATTCTGCCAACGAAAGAGCCACCATAGGCTTTGAACCAACAAATAGGGTCTCCAGACATGACAATTTACATTCACCTAAAACAAACAAACAAAGCTTTAATCACCATCAAGAGCAATTAGTTCAATGCTTCATCAAAGATGACAACAACAGCTGATCTAGGATAAATGTTGCACGCAGGCCATAATCTGTACAAAATATAGTTCTTAATGCTATTTATATTATTGTTATTATGAATTATGAAAGAGGACAAAGAAAAAAGATTATATTCTTTTTTTATTTGAAAAAAAAATACAGTAAAAAAAATACTTCACACAAGCGAAGGTTATTGAATTCAATCAACATTATGATGTCAAACTGCAACCACACCCAGTAGCCTGATTACAATAACCATTTCTATGCTAAAAAAAAATGTTCAAACAAAACTTTTAAGAGAAATAACACAACCCAAAGTTGGCATAGAAAGTTCAACAAATTATTATCCACATGGAAAACATGCATATCAACTTAAGAAAGTTTTAATTGACAAAACAATCTCCATCAGATGTCACCTCTATGGAAAGCTTTTGGTCTGTTTAGAACAATCTCAAGGACAAGAAAACTAAACATTGTTTACTTACTTACCTCCAGCAGTAGAAGGTAGGACCAGTTCCCATACATAAACTGCACCATCGGAAGAAGTAGATGCAAAGATTGCATCTGTTTCAGAAACCATAATTCCAGTTATGCATGTAACTCCCTTTTTGTGAGATTGTGGCAACTGTAACTCTTGCCTCCACTGAAAACAAAAGAAACGTAAAGATGAAAAACGAAATTATAGAATATAAGTTACATAATTTCTTTCTAAAAGTAACTGGTACCTAAATTTTTTTAAAAACTAAACAACTGCATAAAATAAAACATCATAGTTATCGATTATGATTCCAGACTTTTATGATTCAAAAAGCTATAGAGGTAAGCAATAAAATAACGGAAAAAACTTCACCAAATTCTTACAAAATGGAACCAAGTTTGGATTGAATTATCGACATGATTGCAACAAAAAATAAGAAGAGAAGAAACAGATTACCTTTTTGTCTGCAAGAGTTAACTCCCATAGAATAATAACACCATCAGTGTCTCCAGAAAGCAGATAATGCCGGTCTAATTGTTTTGCTGCCAACAAAAATATACAAAAAATGTAACTAAAACTGGCCTACGAAGAAAAAATTCCAAAAATCTTGTATTTTGCAAATAAGCAAAAATAAGTGGTTAAAAGCAAGCAACAAATTAAAACTTGCTTGTCTTTTAACAGCTCTTGACATTTTGCAACACCAAATAGCTCCCTATTTGTACACAAAGCTTAGTGCTTTATACAACTAAGAACAGCCCAGAAACATATAATAAAAAGAAAGCACCTTTGAAAGCGAACTTGGTGCTTGGAATCCAGTGAGTGCAGTTGACAGAGGCCTTGTGACCAGGAAGCGTAGTCAGAATCTGAGCAGTCTGTCCCAAACCAAAAAGAAAAAAAAAAAGAAGGAACAGGCAAGTTAGTTAAGAATGTTATGTTACTGCAATAAGGTTACAGTCTGGTGGTTAGGAGATGTGAGAGAGAAGGAGCGAGAGCTACCTCGGGACAGAAAATCGCGACAGCATTTTGGGCACCGAAGGAAACCAAATCAGAGGCGCCCCATGAAACGTTATTTACTACTCTGTTGCATCCTGCTCCTATAAACACTCTTTTCACTTCAACTTCACTTTCTTCTTTATTTTCACTCATCGTCAACTTACTTCTAAAAATCTTCTATCAAAATTTTCTTCGAAAGATAGAGACTTGATACAGGGATCGACCTCAGAGAGCGGCCAAAACCTTGGTTCAGGTAAATCGAAACAGGAGTTTGAGGAAGAAAAGAAGAAAAAGAGGTGAAAGTGGGCCGGATTTTCAACTCCAAAACTGGACCAAAGTTTCCGGCCTTAAGTGTGATATTCATTGGGCTTCAACTCAGGTCATATCTTATAGCCATATTTATGATCTTACGAAATTCATTCATTAAACTAGCGATTTTGGCAGCTGCGCACCTTTTATTTTATTGTTATTTTTTGGGCACCTGTGCACATTTTATTTTATTAGTTTTTTTTTTTGGGCACCTGTACACCTTTTTAATCTACCTTCGTGACAAAATTTAAGAATATAATATGTTTATAAGATATAGAAAAATTTATTTGAGATAATATGTTTTATGCAATTGTGTAATTATATAAACCATTAGTTTATATCTACTTATATAATATGAGGATATTTTGGTCCAACCAATTGTTTTGACAAAATTTATACCTTTATATATAGCTGTAGATAAGTTAATTATTATGCTACGAGTGGCTCGAATTTGTACAGTACAATAGTAACTTGACAAAAATTAACAAAATTAATTATAAGTGTACATATTACATTAGCAAGATTTTTGGATTTATAATTAATTACAGATAATATTGTAAAACTCTAATCATAGGTAATTTCAACCATAAAAAATTGTCAAATAACGTGAATCTCTTTCCATCAACAAAAAACACCCATCGCAACTCAATAAAAAAACTATTAAATCTTTAATTGAAGAATAAAATAAGAATTTTATGTAGAAATAAAAACTAAATATAAATTATTAACACACTAAAACACAAAAGAAGAGAGATTTAAAAAAAAAAAAAACTACAAAGATGAAGGCCTGTTGCCAATAACCATTGTGTTTTATTTTTTAAGAGTAAACCAAGAAGAATGATAGATAAATGACTACTTTTCTTTTTTTTTTTTTTTTTTTTTTTTGCTATACTTTGAACTTATATACAAAAATAATATTATGGTAGAAAACTCAATAACGTCCCCTTAACCAAATTGTTGTCGCTTTAGTTTTAAATATTATGCATTGCTTGATCACGTTGGATATATATATATATATATATATATATATATAATAGGAATAAATAGTTTTCCTAATTTTGTGCATGGGAGAAAAGTATCTAAGAATTATTTTGAAATATTGATATATTTATATTTGATTAGTCTCGTCTATTAAAGTAATTTAAATTTTGATCTTGATATAGATATAATGAAATATATATATATATTGGTATAAAAACAATACAATGTTTCTTGTTGAATTTATAATTAACTTATAAGTGCACCCAGTTTCAACTCAAAAAATTGTAATAAATAAAAATATATAACAAATCACACTCACTTTTCTCAATTGTCCCTCTTATCATAACCTCATTCGTTTTATTTTTATTTAACTACAAATTTCTAACGTGTATATATATATATATTCTTTATAAATTTTATTTAATACTTAATTTAGTATTTTTTTGGTCTACAGTGTTTTTAATATTTAATTATATTTTAATAAATTAAATTTATGTAATTTTATTAAAAATAGATATTAAATTCATATTTAGAATTTTTGATATGCATAATTTAATTTTTTTAGTATTATTTACGAAACGCTCAGGAGTTTTGCGTAGTTTAATAAATGAATTCGTAGGGTAGAAAAGAAGGGAAAAGAGGAATCTTATCTGGTGTAAGTTTGCAGAGCGGTGCCCGCAATGGGCTTCGAAAGAATCTTGTGGCCCACATCGACCTATTTTGGTATTTTGCCCCCACCTAAAGTCAAAAGTGGAGGTAGCAAACAAAGGAGCAAGATCCATCAAGAAGAGAAGAATCGAGAGAAATAAGGAAGAAGAACCCAATCAGCTCATCACCATCCCCACCGCCCCGCTTTTTCTGTCCTCATTGCCGCTATCTACATCCACCAAAAGCAAAATCAAAACGAGTACCGACACCATCCAAAAACACATAACGAACTCCATTCTTCTTCTTTAAAAAGAAGAAGAAGAAAAAATCAAAGACAAGAAACACAAAGACACCGAAGAAAATGGCGTCAACAGCAACAATGCATTCGGATATTCGTTCTGTTCTTCACGTAGCCAATTCCATCATCATCAATCCCAATCTCATCCTCTCACGCGCCACCGCTTCCTCTGTGCGTCGGTCTTTTTTTCACGACCAATACTATCCTCGTATCACAGGATTTCAACTCCCACGTCATTTCGAGCGAGAGCTTTCTCCACCGAGTCAACTGAACCTGTCGTCAATCTTCCAGAGAAGCCTCCGATTTGTACTGCCGATGAGCTTCACTACGTCTCAGTCTCTAATTCTGACTGGCGCCTCGCTCTCTGGCGCTACCATCCTTCTCCTCAGGTCTGTCCCACTCAGTCTAAATTTCACGGTCTAGTTCATTTATAATATTTTGTTATTTGATTACAGGCGCCTCCAAGGAATCATCCGCTATTGCTATTGTCTGGAGTTGGGACTAATGCCATTGGTTACGATCTCTCACCTGGGGTAATACTCTTCTTTCCAAATCATGGTTAATTCCATTTCAAGCAAAATACATGTGATTTACTTGCAGTAGTTACTTTTTTTTTAAGGCAAAACGTTATCTAGTAAAGCACGTCGCGGCATACTTGTGATTGTAAAATACTCCTTCAATGCAAAAATATTAAAAAATGTTTAAGATGTTTTTAGTTATGGATGACCTTCCCGAATATCTCCTATTTACTTGAGTTTAGCTTAATTCTGACTGATTCAAAACACTTGACACAGTGAATCAGGTTTTACCTTTTTAGCTTGATTTGAATTTGAGTTTGCTGTTCCAAAAAATGCTGAATGGTTATTTTTGTTCTGTTCTCTCTTAAAATCACTTCTACGTTTGGTAATTCATGTGTGTTTCGCATTTTATCTGACTGTGCAACACTTTACCCTCTTACTGAAGTCTGTTATATGGTTGCAGTCTTCGTTTGCTCGTTACATGTCTGCCCAGGGATTTGAGACGTGGATTCTTGAGGTTCGGGGTGCTGGTTTGAGCGTACGAGGATCAACTCTCAAAGATGTCCAGCAGTCTGCCCACGAAGTCTCTCAGCAGATGGAAGCTGTAGCTAAGAGTGTGACAAATGGATCTTTGTCTGCAGACCAGAAGCCAAGTAATGTTTCCAGTCCCATGCCAGATTCTAGGGTTTCTGTTGTTGAAGAGGACCCACATCTGGCAGGGATTGTAACCGTATGGGATGAATCGAAACTGGTGACAATGTTGACTGAAATTTTTATGCGTTTGTCTGAAAGACTCTCTGGCTTTCTCAGTGAAAGTCAATCGAAGATTATGTCTGCTAAGTTAATTGATCAGATATCAAAAATCTTAGAAGATTCTCAATTATCTGAACGCATGAACGAGATAAGGGGAAAGCTTTTGAGCTTGTTAGAAGCAAGACAAAACTCTGCTATTGCTGGTCAATTCAGGGATCTGAGTCAAGGACTGGTTAATGTTATTGAGGAAGGTCAAAAGTCTGTTTCACCACAGTTGTCTGACTTGCAAGAGCGTCTTTCGTCAACCATTGAAGATTTCCAGAAACAGCTTGACTTGATTGTGAAGTATGACTGGGACTTTGATAATTACCTGGAAGAGGATGTTCCTGCTGCGGTGAGGTGACATTTTATCATGCTGAGACACTACATGCACTATTCTGTCTTTGCAGTTAACTTTTCAATTAATTTTTATTGCTATGATCATTGAAGTTTGGGTATCAACAGTTCTTGGATATTCCTCTGTATTAATAAGCTTTACCTTTATCCGTGTAGATGGAGTATATAAGGGCCCAAGCCAAGCCAAAGGATGGTAAATTGCTTGCTATTGGACACTCCATGGGAGGTATCTTACTCTATGGAATGCTGTCACGATGCAGTAAGATACCGTAACTTACCTTGTGTGTCATATAACTGTAAACTCTCCTGCTCATAGTAGATATAGCAAGCATGTTTCCCCTCTAATGGGGTTAGTGGACTTGCTTTTCCAAATAGTAAAACCATTCTTCATAGTTGCTTCTGCAAATCCCATAATATGTTGGACTCTAGGTTTAGTCATTTTCCCTTAAGAATTAAGTTTATAACTTTGTTGATCTTACAATCAATAAAAAAAAATTCTGCTCATCTAAAGCCTCAAATGTGGCATGTACAAATGTTCAAAAATTTGGACTGGACTTCTGGTTAGAATCTTTTGTTAAAAGTTTAAACCACAATTGAGTATTTGTGAAGAGTATGGGATTCTTTCTCTCATATCCAAGGAATTGGAGAAGTACAAGGAGTGCTTATAACCTAAATACTAGGTCATTCCAAGTTTTGCATGAAAGCAAGATTAAGGTCATTGGGGCAGGTCATCATCTTTGAGTATCCTTTTAGATCGTTAGCCCCTTAGAGCCTTAGGGAGGTACAGTAGAACCAATAAAACCGCTGTACAGTGGGACTTCAATTTGAAGGGAGTTGGTTGTAACTTGGAGGCAGCAGATAAAATGGATCAGAAATATTAGGATGGTGTATTCCTCGGTCTGTATTTACTTCTCATGATCTATATTTTGAGTGTCTTTTCCTTTTCCAGTAGACATCTATCTTGTTTCCAAATGTTAAACAATTGAATGTTAGCTCGTTTGGAGATGACCACTGACTTTTATGAAGCCTAAGTTCATTTGTTGCTAGCTTTATTTTCACTAAGTCACCAAAGAAATATTGCAATGCAAGAAAAAGAGTAATGCTAGCTTTATCTTCACTAAGTCACCAAAGAAATATTACAATGCAAGAAAAAGAGTAAAGAGAGAAAAACCTTGCTGAATGTTTCATTCCAACCTCTGGATGCTTCACAAGTAACTTACAATCACCTGATTGCTTTCTGTGTTTATGTCCATAAATAATTTACACCATTACATTTTATTACATTTGAACACGATGGCCGGATGAACACTTTTAGCATGGTATTGATATTTGCAAATTAATTTTCTTCCTGTAATTTAGGACTTATGTTGGGTCTATTCAAGAATGAGATTGATTAAATAATTCGTGGAATGGCAGCTCTTTCTCGTATTTTGAACTCTGGAGTTGATGTGATGGTGAAACTATTGACACTGCATGTTTAATATGTTTACTTTAGAATGTTCTGCCCATGACTTTGGCTGAATTTGTTAGACTAGGCTGTCGTCTGCAGAATGGTAGAGCAAAAGAGTGTCTGAAACCACACTTGTTCAAAATATATATTTAATTAACCTCATGCTTTCATTGAATAATGATTACTTCTATTAAATATGTCTAAATCAGTTTATAATTGAAAACATGGTTGGCCTTTATTGCAAGATTTACCAACCTGAGAATAAAATTGAAATGTCGTCTTCTTTTCATCTCCCCGTTTCCTTTCTCTTTCATTTTCTGATGAGAATACAAAAAGAAACACAGGTGTCATAATTTCCCTGATAATATTCATGTCTTGTTTATCATATTAAAGGTTGTGAAGGCAGAGGCTCTGGATTGGCTGCTATTGTTACTCTGGCTTCATCACTTGACTACACACCTTCAGAATCAAAACTCAAATTGCTTTTGCCCCTTGTAAGCTGAAAACAAATTCTGAACATTCATCTTTTTGTTTATCTAGGTCAGATGCAGCTGTCTAATTGTGAATTTTGTGAGGAATAGCCTTGTTTAAGATACTAATAATGAGACAATTGTCATGTAGGCAGACCCTGCTCAGGCTTTTAATGTACCTGTTGTTCCTTTGGGAGCAATGCTGTCAGCAGCATATCCTCTTTCAAATCGTCCTCCTTATGTCTTGTCTTGGCTTAATGATTTGATATCAGCACAGGACATGATGCATCCAGAGTTGTTGGAAAAGCTTGTCTTGAACAACTTCTGTGAGTACAGTTTCCCTATTGAGCAAAAATGTTGGGAGTTTTTTTCTGTTTCGGTTTAGGCTCTATGTGTGTGTAAAGATGTTCTCTGTTTAGACTGTTAAATCAATGGGGATTTGAGCCTTCTTTTTCACAACTGTCAAATTTATATTTTATACATAAAGGACACAAATGCAATCCTGACTTGTCCATGCCATGTTGAAATGCCCCATAATTACACAACCGTTCTCAAGCCCTGATAAATGGAGAAGGTTTTGTTAGAAATAATGACTAATGAGTGTAGAACTATGAGAAAATGAGTGAGTGAGTTGAAGTGATTTGTTCAACAATGAAAACATCCATCAACTAAGTAACGACACTGATGAGGGATTCTAAGGAAAGAGGAATGTTCAACAATATTGATCTTATGAGGAAAATCTCAAGGACTCTGTTTAAAACAAACACGCACACACACACATCCCATACAAAGAGTGGGATGCTGTTCAAGATACCATTTACCTGCCTCAAAATGATTTTTGAGGGGAAAAATATCAATTTAATGCATTTGTACATATGCTTTACCAAAGAGGGGGAAAAGGAAAAACTGGTATCAATGAATGTAAGGGATTGTCATTGATTTAACGCACACATCTTTTCATTCTTTCCCTTTCTCTTTTCCATTTCTCAATTGCATTTGGTTGTCAAAATAATATCTGTGTCCATACAGGCTGTAATTTAATCTTGTCTCACAAGCACTGGTGTGCGGTTACTGCCATTGGTTTCATAACTTGATTTGTTCAGACTTTGTTCACGGCCCTCACCCCACCCCCATACAAATGGGATAGAGGACTTTCAGTGTTAAACTGAAACAGTTATTTGAGCATCTTGAGTCTTTACTCAGTTCTTAAGTCAGTTCCTCTCTTCTCATCATCTTTGTTGTACAATTTTGTGAACATATGTTGATTATTACTGGCAGGTACCATACCTGCAAAACTTCTTTTACAGCTTACGACAGCTTTTCGAAACGGTGGCTTGTGTGACAGGAGTGGTAAATTTTTCTACAAGGATCATCTACATAAGAGCAATGTACCTGTATTAGCCATAGCAGGAGATCAAGATCTGATTTGCCCACCTGAAGCTGTTGAAGGTGTGTAAACTACGATAACTTGTGTATCTGTCTTTCATAGATGCCAATATTTCACTTCTTTCTTGTACTGATTTGGATGCATCAGAAACTGTTAAGCTTATCCCCAAACATTTGGCCACCTACAAAGTGTTTGGAGAACCTGGAGGTCATCATTATGCACATTATGATTTGGTCGGCGGGAGGCTGGTAAGCAGTTCATGACTGAAGCAATGGGTAACATCTTGTTCGATAGTTTATTCAGTGCTGTGTTGTAATATGCCTTTTTCTCCTCACAGGCGGTGGAGCAAGTTTATCCTTGCATAATCGAATTTCTTAGCCGATATGACTTGAGATGAGTACCCAGCAAATGAAACTTCATTACCCATGGTATTCACAGTGGCAGCAGCAGCAGCAGCAGATACTATTTTCCTACAGGCTTGAAATACGCCTCTTGGATTCTAACCCTGTCCAGCTTTAAGTCAGTAACACATGCATGCTTTTGGTGAAGTTTTCCATTGGAAAAAATTGTGGTTGTTGGTCGGAAGGTAAATAAAGGGAAGGAATGGAGTTTATACGAGCTCTGATCCTGTTACATAAAAGGAAAATTAAGGTCCGGAGAGAGTCGGTTAAAAGTGTGCTCATAATTTCTCCATTCAATTTCAAATGATGAAATGAGGAGAAATTCTTGTAGATCAGGTTAAGATGTGGAGACGAGTTATTTTGTCGTGAAAAGATCATTTTTTGATTTCCAATAGGTAAGAAACCTTTTCAAGGTTGTGCGCTTAAAAGCGTTTTACTGTATTTTAATATTTACTGACACATGGATAGCTTTCCTTGCCTCCTGGACTGAAACCAATATTAATTTGTTTTCTTTTGGCCTTTTTTTTTTGGCCTTCTCTCCTGCCCTCCATCCTCCACCAAAGTGAAAAAATAGGGAAGGAAAAAAAAGAGGCGAAAATGATAATAATAATATACATAATCTAATCATGTACACAAGTTCTAAGATGGGATCATTGCTCAAAAACTTTTTCTCTTTTTTCATTGGAGTTTGGTTCGCGCTTTTTTTTATCAAAAGTAAATCCCTTTTAGAAAACAAATTTCATGAAAATTAATTTTGAAAAAATAAATTATTTTTAATGTTTGGTTATGGCATGAAATATGAATTGGAACATGCTTTCCATATTGGTGTATGTGATTGCTTTATTTATTAATATGTTTTATGTACTAATATTTATCATATTATTATTATTGTATGTTTTTATCAGTGTGATCGTTATTGTTATCATGGGAGAATAAATAAAGAAGTTATACGCCATTTTAGTTTTTAAGTTCCGTGCAGAAAGTTCAAATCGGAAAAGTACTTTCTTTTTGCTGGTATAAAATGAATTTTGTTGATCAATTTTCTGATTTTTTTTTCAAATATTGGAAAATTGAAACGTTTTTCTGGCAAATAAAGAGGGACTTAATGCTTGTAAATTATGCAGTTGGATCTAAGCTGTTTGGTAGTGGCTGACTGCTGTAATCGATTGGGATTTTGATTGGGAATTGGTCATTAAAGATTTTTATACATTGCGGGTTATAAAAAATGAATGGCACATTATATAATATGAATGAATTCTTTAAATTATTCTTTTGACCACTCAACTTTTATTTGCTCAAACCTTGGTTCCGGAACACTTCTCATCATCTGATTGGTTGTAGTTCAATGGCACATCCTATCGCTTTTTGGTCAATGAAAAATACAGTGTACTCGGAGAGATGGTGTGGCCATCCATTTTGTGCTTCGTCTGTTGCAATTGGTTCTTTTTTCTTTTTCTTTTTTGTCCACCCTGTTGAACAAAAACTTTGAGAGTTTGATCTCTTTCAACCATAATGATATAACTATACAATCATAATCATAACACATATTTTCATGCTCTATTTAAATATCATTCCGTTAAAAATTTATTCCAAATAGAATAATCTTGACCAATCACCAATAGCCAACATGATCAAACAAGCCTCGACCAATCGAGTATAGACAAATGGTTCGAATAAAAAAGATACATTTCAAAACACTTGATAGACAAAAAGGACACTAAAAGAGTTTCAAACCCTCAACTAGATGTCGGGAACTATTGAATGCAAAAAAAAGACTATTTTAACCTTCACCCATGAAAGTTGATCACGTCTTCTCTATATAAAGGCTAACAAGCTAAATGTTATAGGTTTTGTCTTTAAAGCTCAAAATAGTATATTATCAACTATCTCTTACACACAAAAACTAATCTCTTATAGTTTACTCGGACTAAATACCTCAATTCGTAGGCTAACTTAGCCTTTAGAGACCCTTCACCACTAGAGGAGGATTTGTTTTATAGGTACTCGCTACTCGAATCAACATCCATCAAGCCATAACCATTGTATAACCGAGTTTAGGTTGAAAACCACCTCATTAACATTCTTAATTTGAGAATCATCACCTAACCAATGGCATTATTAATGGAAAATTAAGAAAAAAGTCAACTTTACTCTTTTGATTTCGCTAGTCTTAGTAGTCCGTCAATCGATGTCCTCCAACCGTAGCGACACATCAAAATCTTAACAAAGGCATATGTATTGACGTAAAAGCTAATAAGAATTTTAACTACACCCTTACCAATGCCTCAAACACCATAAGCACATTCATATGCACCATCACTAGAGACTTTTGTGCCATCACCAAGCTATGACCCATATGGACCCTTCTCGTTAAAACAAGCCAACTCGATATTCGATCAAAGAAGAAACAATAAGGCATAACGAGAGAGAGGTCAAAATAAGTGAACATTGTCATTCTACATAACCATAAAGAAGTTACTCTCATCTTTAGGATAAAAAATTGACTAGCCAAGGCTTTCATAGATATAGAGAAAGAGAAGAAATAACAAAATATCACCATATTGTCAAAAGTAGGAATAACTCCACTAGAAAGCAACACATAAGTCTGTTTTTACTCCTCTCCAATCTCATCGATGAGCCCTGAATCTAAATACTAAGTGAGTGGGTAAAAGACTTTTTGCCACCATTCATCCCGATTAAGACTAATATAATCGTAAGATCTAATTTTTCCACTTGCTACTTTTATCTTGAACGCTAGGCTCTAAAAAGAATTCTTAGCCTCGAAAGATGAACCTAGATGGTATGATGACATAACGGATCCACGAAAGTATGTACAAAAAATGTTTGAGAAAACCTTGAACTAGTCATATGAAGTTTAGATGTTATATGCGGTGGTGCTTTCCATAATTTTTCGAAGAATGGCAAGAAAATGGTATAACAACTTAGACCTTGAGTCGATCCTAAGTTTTGAGGATTTATGCTACAAATTGGTCACTCATTTCTCCATTAGAAGTTTTGTCAAAACAAGTTCTAGTGACTCGTTCGTAGTGTCTCAACAAGAATGAGAAAGTACCAAAGCATACCTCTCTTACTTCTATGAGGATATGTTAAGATTCGTCACTTATTATAACCCATCACAATTGAAGCCCTCATATCGAGTGTCAATGATTTTTTTTTTATGGAAGAAGATTTATGATTTTTCTAATAGGAACCTCTATTAAGTGAAAAAAGTGCTAGAGAGTCATATTCAAATGAAAAAAAAACGATAGTCGCCCGATAAGCACACCTTTGCTTTTAAAAACCAATTAAGAAAGCAAAAAAAGAGATATCTTTATAAGCCAACTCCGAGTTTAAAAGAAATCTTATAAAGCTCATCCATAGCCATTTGATCTTTTATGAACTTCAAGCAATTCCTCCGAATGTCTCCCTATCGAAGGTATTTGCTTGTCATATAAGGGAAGAGATAAATTAACCACCCAACTCTAATAAAGAGATATCTAAACCTTAGTAATTAGAAAAAAAAATACTAATTCTATCACCAGGATATTGGCTATAACACTAAAAATTACTATTTCTTGAAAAAAGAAATAAAAAAAGGTTTATTGCTAGTAGATACTTCAAATAATTCATCGAGCGAGTAAGAGCCAAACTCTAACAAAATTGACACCAAACAAGACCCTTACTAAGAAGATTACCTCTAAATTAATGTGATTCTAGAAAGGACACCCACAAAAAAAGACCCAATAAGAGAAAAAACAAAGGCTCTCACATTCCTTACCATCTCACAAGATCCCATGCCCTAGCATGAACCTATCACTTTCACTTTCATGAATGCAAAAGAGATAACCTTCTTCATGATGACGCCTTTATAATTTTAATGATGATCTTTAATCATAAAATCCATTGCATTCCGATAGATCCTAAAAGTATCATCAACATCAAGTCCAAAAAAGCCTTTGACTTGATGAAAATGGATTTCTCAAAGCTTCAACCAATTCAAACTCTTTTATGGAGGATAAAAAAAGGATAATTTCTAATAGTAGGGGGCAATCCAAAGTTTAGTAACCATAGGTGTCTCTCCTTAAAGTGTAACAATACACCCAATATTTATGGTTATAAAGATGAGTTCGACATACAATGCTATATTTGGTATCCCTTCTTTTATGAAATAAACATCACTATCTACACTTATTACTTGTCTTTGAAATTCTCTTCACCTAAATAAATAATTACAATTAAGAGAAGCAAAGTGACCTCTCAAAAGTGGTTCTCCTTTAAAAAAAAGAAAGATAGGTTCATACATATTGCAGGATAAAAAGAGGATTAGGTAAGTGATATGAAGGACTTGAAGACATAAATAAAAAAAACAAATTACCAATCCAAACTCTTTAGACACACCAATACACTTTAATGGTAAATCTTTTTGTATAAAAGATATGTGCTTTAATACATAATCAATGAAGATGTTTCCATACTAATTTTCATCAATCAATATGCTTGATGTAAAAGCACATTCCTCCAAGCATATAGTTCTTCCGTAAATCATGACTACTATTATTACTTTTTTTTTCCCCAAAAACATATGATAGTTTCTTCATTAGGAATGTTGTATCCCATAAGGGTTCTAGATAGAACTCGGCTAAATTTTTATCTTATTCAAGTAGAAAGGCACATCTAGCCTAAATATAAAGACATCTCGACTATTCTCATGAAAATAAGATATTTGTCCCTTCTAAAAAATAACTTGTCATAAATAAATTTGTAGGATTGTGAAAGGTAATGGTTTTTACCTTATCCAAATATAATACACACCATGTCCAAGTCTAAAGGAATCACTCATCTTTCTATGAACCATAAGCATTATCTTCTTTTCAAAATTGAGTTTCTTTTACCTTATTCAAGTATAAAAGTATCACCAACCTTGCCCAAAAAAAGTGACTTTATTTTAATTATAGCCAACAATCTATGATAATTCAAGCCTTAAAAATTCATAATT